TCTCTCCCCCACCTCCCTATCCACACTCCAAGCAGAAATCATTCTCTTGAACTTTGTGTTCTTTACTATTGAGCAAATGAAAAGCTACAGACACCCAGAGAAGCAGGATGGCTGCAGATTCCTTAAGAAAAATAGCAGTTTTACCAACCAAGTTGCAACTTCTTTGGGGGCAGCGTCTTCTTCTCTCCTGCAGTGTTACTAGCAGGGGGCTGGGCACACAGGGTGTTGGTGAATCTTGATGAATGGGCTGTTTAGGGTCCAGACCAGAAAGGTGAGGACCGAAAGCCAGAGAGCAGGCAGGATGCAGTTCCAGGAATATGGAGCAGGGCTCTTGATTTCCCCTCTGCACCTGGACAGGTGGCTGTGTGACTTCCGCCTTGCCCTATGACATCACACATTGTTGCCTAGGTGACCCAGCTGGGTGGAAAAGCCCACTGCTTATCCAGGTCTGAGCAGAGAGGACGACCCCTGGCTTTACCTTCCCAGGGGTGCCAGGAGCCAATTGCCCAGCCGTCGGCCCCTGGCTGGCTGGCCATGGCCCAGATTCCCCATGGCATCTCCAATCACAGTATGTCTATCTGCTGAGAAAGCTCCATACTCCTGTCCCCACCGCACCCCACCCCAACCCCTGCCCTGCTCTCCCTTCCCTTCCCCTGCTCAGGTCTCGGGGCTGGTCTCCACTCCCTTCACTACCCCCAAAGACTGGAACCCAGGCCAGCTCTCTGGTCAGGGCTGATGCCTGATCCCCCACCACCAGGTCCCGGTCCCTGAGATTGTTAAACAAGGCCAAACACTGCTTCCCCCAAAAGGATGGGCAAGGGGAAAAAAGGAAGGCGAGGCCTGGGGACATGGGACATGTACCACATGAACTCATCTCTCCTTCCAAGTCCCTCGCGTGTTTGTTCCTCAATCACGACAGAGGCTTCTCTTCTCTGTCTTAGTTTTCACAGCTGTGAAATGGGGACTGAGGTGTCCTCTGTGACACCTCCAGGTTAGGTGTCCCATACTCTTGGGCCACATGGGATCTGAGAGGTGGCGTGCTCACAAGTGTCATCAAGCCCAACCGCCCTTACCTGGTGATTTCTGCCTGTCTCCCCATGACCTGGAGAGAGTGGTAGCTTGAACAAGGTGTCTCACCCTCCACAACCTGGGAAGGAGTTTCTGCCTTCTTGTTGCTAAGATTGCAGAGGCTCAGAGAGCCCAGGGAGATGGCTCTCATCACCCTCCAAGATCTTCCAGGGGTGTCCCAGGCTGCTACCCTGGCAGTGCCCACACCCTCCCATCCCTCACCCACCTCCAGACCCAGGTCACAGGGGCTCTGCTGCCTGGAAAGAAGGGATTGTTATCTGTTTCCCTCGCTGCTGTACCTCTAGTACTCAAAATAGTGCCTGACACTATTAGTAGGTGCTTAATAAATAGCTGTGAGACAGCAGCACAGTCCGGCCTAGACTAGAATCTCAGTGTAAATGAAAGGTAAACAGTTCCATATCAGGGCTCCGCTACCTTTCGCAAACTGGCAAAGTTGTGCCCATGCCATCGACTGTGTCACTTACCAACAGGGATGATGGAGAGAGCTAAGACCAAGGACACACAGGTACTTGGAACACCCTCTTAGCAGTTACACTCTTAGATCAGACAAACCAAATCGCTAGAGGGGTCCAGGCCCCAACGTGGCTTATACTCTATTACCCTTGACTCTGGTGTCTGTTTACTTATTCCTCCACATGTAACTCAGCACATGCATTTTCTATTCCCTGATAATTTCTCCAATGCAGGCCAAGGAGGGTGGGGGGTGGGAGAGGACTCATTGGTCCTAATGCAGAGGAAGGCAGAAAGGTTGGCCTACCTCCTACCCCCTCATGGCCTCCCACTTGTCCCCAAGCCTCCCTGGCCCTGGGCCCAGACTGCCCAGAGGGCACGTGCCTGCAGGTCTCACCAGAGGGCACCAGCCTGGCACCTGGTCTCACGTCCAGAAGTGAAGCACGAGCAGTTTCCTCCCAAGCCCCTGCAAGCTTGATTTCCCTGGAAGGCTGCCCCACATGGGGAGGCATAGAGGAGGCGGAGGATGCAGAGGACAGAGAGAGGGCACAACTCACGGTCTGGTCTGCAAAATGCCTGGTTGGGCTCTGAGGCTGCCAGGTAGTCAGTGAGAGCTCTTAGGCAACTCCCATTCAACTGGGCCCTCATTTCTGGGGCTATAGGGTGCTTGCCATAGGCTCTGTGCTCTCACAGCCATGGCCGGGCGAGGGCCATCACCAAAAGCTGCTCCTGGGAATTTGGGGGTGAGACGGAAGTTAGTTTCCTGATCTCACTTCAGGAACCTTAGGCTAATTACTGGAAAGACTGCATTACAAACCATTCCAGATATACCCGCTGTCCAGGTGGGAAAATTAAGGCTCAGAAAGGTCGTACAGAGAGCTGAGGACAGAGCTAGGATAAGCCTTGGTCTCTGGACCCCAGGCTGCTAGTCTTGCTCCTGCACCACCAAACCAGGAGAGCAAACCTGCTGGGGAGTAGGCAGGACAGGGCTGGGTATGGAGTAGCTGGGAGGGCGGAACCTTGGAAAGGCAGCATCTCTGACTGTGTGCCTGTTTCCTCCCTTCCCCTCTCCACCAGGGAGGTGTTCCTTCTGCTGACACCCCTCCCCCTCCTGCACCCTGGCTCGGCAGAGGAATTGGGGAGAGGAGGAGGGGTAACTCAACACCTCTGCAGAGGGTGACAGGGCCTGCTGGGTCCTGAGGTGGGGGGTGGAGGCAGTCAAGTGGGGGGGTCTCCTTGTAGGGCTGGCACTTCTGGAGCTGGGGATGGGGTTGTCACCTCCTAAATAGTCATCATGTTGGGCAAGGACAGCAGCCTGTACCAGGAAGGCCTTTCTGATGAGTCAGACCTGTAGGAAGTGAGGGAGCGCAGCACAGAAATGGTCATGCAAGGACAGGCAGGACAGGCAGAGAGGACAGCCAGGGTAACGGCTACAAGAAACCACTAGGAGGCTAGTGTGGCTTCAGCAAGTGGGCAAGGGGCCTAGGGACCAGGTGAGGTCAGCTTCCTGGGCCAGAGCACCCAGGTCCTTACCACACTGTGAGGCTACTGAATGAGGAGCTCCTGCAGTATTTGAGCAGAGCAGCAATATGGTCTGCTTGAAATTTGTTAAGGTTTACTCTGGCTGTTCTGTGAGGTGGGCAGAGCGGAAGAGAGCCAGAGAGAAAGAAAAAAGCAATTAAGAACCAAGCGCAGAAATCCAGTGTTTTGGACCTAGTGCTTGAAGTGGACACAGCAGGGGTCAGATTCTAGGCATGGCTTGAAATAGGGCTGGCAGGACCTGCTCATGGATTGGGTTAGCACAGTGCTCAGGTCTGAGGTCACCCTATACCGCTGTTGTGAGAACTGAGTGAAATGACAGCCCTTTCCTTTCCTTCTCCCTGGAGGCTTCCAGGAGCCAGGAGCAACTGTGCCTAGGACCCCCAGGCTCAAGGTGGGGTCAGACAGTATGTGGGGAACCTGGGCCATCACAGAGGAAGGAGGGCGGGTTCCAGGCAGGCTGGTCCGAGCCCTTATTGTCCGGTTGAAAAATGACTCTAATAGCATGACTGGCTTGGGGTTTAAACCTAGCTCACCTGACACTTATCAGGACACAGCCAGGGTACCCATCCCGCCGAGGCTGCCACCAGCGCATAGCCCACCCAGGACTAGGTCCTCGGTCTCCCCTCAATGTAATAGGTCTTCATTCTCAATGGTCTCTACAGACCCTTGCCATCCCGAGAACTCCCCCACCCTTACCAGGGCCTGCCCTGAAATGCTGGCTTTGAGGAGCTGAGCTTTCTGGGTAAGAGGGACAGCTCCCAGTGGCCCCCTCACGGCCCCAGCTCCAACCTGAAGAGGTCTACAGTTCCTCTCCAAGGTCCAGGAGGGTCCCTCTCTAGTCCCTTACAACAGCTGTGCCAATTAATCAGCAGGAGGGACAAAGGATGGGAGTCAACTGTGTCAACGTTAATTCCCAGCACAGGGAGCAAGTCGGTGGTTCAGTGCAGGGGGAAGACCAGGATACCCCAAGTCACAGCATTCTCATGTCCACGCCCTCCCCACCCCAATGTTTTGCTCACTAAAAACACCCTGCCAGGATCCAACCCTTGAAGCCTCCAGAAAAGCTCTGAGTCTGCCATGGGCCTCCGGATGCTCCCCCTCTTCCCACTCTGCTGTCTCAGCTCCAGTGTGCTGCTCTCCAGCTTGTCTTCCCTGCCTCACCCATGCGTATTCTCCCAACCCTTTGAGGCCTCCTCTTCCCAGCTGCCTTCCCTGACTGCTCCAAGTCACAGCTTCTGCCTCCTCTCAGCAGCTCGCATCACCATGCTCCTTTGGGCCACGGATCCACAAACTATTGAGTTGCTGAGCCCCTGCATATGAGTCTGCTTGGGGCAACCAGCCTAGGAGGCCACGTGTGGGCAGGCACCTCTCTCCTTCTCTGGGTCAAAGATGGATGAGGCATCCGGACCAGACACATTCATTCATCTCCATTAATTCATTAACTCCACAGATAAGCTCTGTAAACTGTAAAGTGCTAAAACAGGTACCTGAGGTGAGCTGGGGTGAGGTTACAGGAGAGACAGAAGGACAATTGTTAGGATCTCAAAAGCAGGAGCAATTTGGAAATTACAGGGAAGGAGTACCTGCAAAAGTAAGGGCTTAGAGGTGGGACTGGACTTGAAAGGTAAAGTGGCCTATCTCATTCTGCAGGAAGTAATGGATCCAGGACTGGGGGAGAGGCAAGAAGGAAATTGGGAGAGATGTGGGTTGTGGGACAGAGGTAGGGAGAAAGTGAAGCCGAAGACAATTGTCCTCTGGGACTTGTAGTTCCAGACCGGGTGGGGGAATGACAGACGGAAACAACCACTTGGAGAGGAGCTCTAAGAGGACTAGAGTTACAGAGAGGCACTTAAGAAGAGGTGACCGCCCCAGAAGAGCCACTCAGCACTGACTCTCTCCACAGGTCGCCGAGGGCCCAGAGGACCCCCCAAATACCACCCAGGCTGTGGAATCTGTCATCAGCCACCTATCTCCCTCCAATAAGGAGATCATCACAATCACTCTCCATGGGGCCACCAACCTCCCTGCCCGCAAGGATGGCTCCGAGCCATGGCCCTACGTGGTAGTGTAAGTAGCTGCTGAGAGTGAGGTGGGGCCTGCTGTCTCCTAGATCAGAAACCAAGGTACGGATATTTGGGAGACGCGTACCCAAAGGTTCGAGGCTGGGACTGTGATACCCAGAGGGAAAGTCAAGTGTGCATCACACAGGGGCTGGGGGCTCTGCAAATGCGAGGCCTGGCATCTTTCTGCTGTACAGAAGCTGCTCACCAGGGCTAGGGAAGGAAGGGCGGGCCACTCCTTGATCCCACAGCTTGCTGGGGCAGGGTTTGGCCACAACCTGACCTCAGGGGGCAGGGCCTCTGAATGCACTGGGGTTGGCGGTGGTCACAGGAAGAAGACCTGGGGCCTGCCTCTCCCGGACTCTGGGCGCCCCATCCCACCATGCCCAGTCCTGGGGTGAGATACTAACTATCCTCCTCCTTGGCCCCCACTACACTCTAGCCATTTCCATCATGGGGACTTCCCTAGTTCTTGTTCTTTAACCCCCGCACCCCACATCCAGCTAGCTGCAGTCAGGGTGCACACTTCTCACAGCCTGGTATCCGAGCAAGGCCTGCCATGCCATGTCTGCTGCCCATCTCATGGACCTCACTGCTCTCAGAGGCACCGAAGGGCTACAGAGTCCCCAGCTAACCTCCCATCTGGATGCTGGAGTTCTGCTCAGTCTTGATTGTAAAGCAGTGTGCAGTGTTCTCTCCCAAGACACTGGGAGCCACCAGGGCTCCCCACTACCTCCCTACACCTCCCCTCCTCCACCAACACCAGCATCAGTCAGTACCTGCCTACTGGCTTTCCCCCACATTTTCTTTTGGGGGGTGCCTGCCCCAGCCCTCTCTCCAACGCCTGCTGAAATCCCACCTGCAAAGCCTTGTTCATGATGCCTCCTCCTTCAAGTAACCACCAGAGTTGAGCTCTCTTCCCTGGAGCCCCACAGCAGTGTAAACACTGGTCAGAGGCACCTTATATAAATAAAGTTTTGTGTTGCTCCCCTGTCCCCCAAACTGGGGTTCCCCAGGCAGGCCTCAGGTCTCTTCTCCATTTCCCCAACAACGCAAGCAACGTAGGCTTGAGCACAGACTCAGGAAGCAAGAAGCAACTGAGGGGAACACCAGGTTACTATAACAACAACTACCGCACCCCCACAGAGTGGAAGGAGGGTAGACGGTGCGCTGGAGACCAACAGGTGAAACACTTGCTTGCCTCAAAAGCCCCATTTCCACGGCCCAGCTCCCGCCCCTCCCCCAGCTCCATTTCTGCGGTGAGGAAGGCCAGGTGGCAGAGGGCGGGCTTGGCAGGGAGCTAGCCTTCTCCGCTCAGCTATTTCCATAAACCAATTATCGCCCATCATCTCGGGAGATTGAGTCCCTGCCTATCACCAACCCAGCCTGGCGGCTGGCGGGGAACTGGGCGGCCGCACTGCTCCTCGGCAGGCGTCACGACCTGCGCCATCACCCGGTTGCCATGGGAACACTCCAGCGGAGCCAAGCGGGCCGGAGCCTGGGTGTAGGGTGTGGGGGCGGGGTAGCGCAACGCCGCACCCAGCTCCACCGGGGGAGGGGGCAGGGAGCTGCGTTCCAGGCCTCCTGGAGGCTGAGTGGCCACCAGCCCTTGGTGCTAATAAGATGCAAATAAAGCAGAGGGGGCGGCAGGGGGCGGGGGACTCGCCCCTGAGAAGGAAGGCCCAGCTGGTGGGGCCTGAAAAGAGCTTTCAGTGCGAGCCCCTAGGCCCAGGCAGGAACCCCAGAGGGAAGACCGGGAACTTCGGAAGCCCGAAGCCCTAAGCCCTGGAAAGAACGTGATGTCCCCGTATGTCTGATTCCAAATGCACAGTAACGAGGCATACAATGGTCATTGTTCAGTCGGCTTCAGTTTTTTCTTTTCTCACGATGAATATTTTGATGCTTAATATATACATATATTTTACATATTAAACAGTATATTAAATAATATATTAAATATATATATAATTTCACATTCTTCCAAAATACTTTTTCTCATCTTTCTATTGCTTGTGTTTTCTCCTGCCCTCAGCTTGGGTTCCAGGCTTAGTTTCTTGCCCTCTGCCATTGCCATCCCATGTTGTCTCATCTCCGATTGGAGGGGGGACGCTCGGGATGCCTGTGTCTGCCCATCTGCCCTCCTCTCACGATTTGTTGCGTGCCCCGCAGTCAGGCCCATGCTGGTGGGGGGTGGAGTTGGGGTTGAAGCTCAAGGGCCAGAGCTATTCACTCATTCAACCCATTATGGGGAGCTGTAAAGCACTCAGGTCCAAAGATGGGGCCCTCCCTAGTGTGGCTGCTTCACCACCATGCAGGCTCCAGCCTCGAGCCAACCTACTAATAAGGTGCGTCCTCTGGTGGTGACTGTCCCAAGCCAACAGGTCCACTTGGCTCATCATGTGGTTCTGCTTCTTTCCATCTGAGCCATTGACCTGCTTCCAGTCTGACCCCGCTTCTCCACCCACACAGCTTCCTCTAAAGTCACCAGTGACCTTTATGCCTGACCCTACATCCAACAGTCATCTCATCTTTGGTGATCTCTCAGTGGCATTAGCCCCTCATGAACACTCATTCTATTTGAAGTTCTTTCTTTTCCTGGTCCAAGATGCACCCCCTCTTTTATTTTCCTCTCTGTGCACCCCTTCATCTCTTCTACCTAGCCTTAAATGTTTACCTATCCCAGGTTTCAAACCTCGGTTGCTCTTCTTTCTCTATGTTATCCACAGGACCTCACCCCCTTCGGTCGTCAGTAATCCTTCCCTCACCCCCATCAAATCCGTCACCAAGCATGGCAATTTCTCTCCTATCTTGAACTTGGCTGTTTCTTTCCACCAGCTCCACTACCCTAGGTGACTGCATTCTTTTTCTGCTCTTGGTACTTCTGATCTTGCTCCTCCTTAAACCCACTTCAAAGGCAGGTTACTATTAGATACCATGGTACCACACCACCGAAGAAACCCATTCTTGGGACCCTCCATGGACTTCTCATTGTTTCCAAAATAAAGGGGATTTCAGGTCCAGTATGGGTGGGTCTTTGCTGGCTCCTCAACATGAACCCCCACCTCTCTCTCTTTGTTTCAGTCACACCAGACCTCTCTTTGTTTTCCGAAAAGGCCATGGCTCCTCCCATCCCAGGCTTTTGCACGCTGCCCCTCCCAGAACATTATTCCTTTCCCTCCCTTCATTGAATCTCAGCTCATTGATCACCTTCTCAAGGAAGCCCTCCCAAAACCCCCCAACCCTCATCACATGCTTCCATAGGGCTATGTACTTCTCCAGTGTCGCAGTTGCAGGTTCACATGTTTTGTGTGCTTTTATGTGATGACTGGCTTACTCTTCTTCAGTGCCTCCCTCCATTGTGCCCCACTAGTTCCATAAGCAACAACCAGGTCTGCTTCGCTAACCATCTCATCCCTACTATTAAGCACGGTATCTGAAACGTAGGAAACTGTCAACAAATATTGAATGAATGAACACACAAGTGAATGAATGAATCTGGCCCCATTTCTAACTTGATCTGTGACTTTGGGAAATTTACCTCACCTTTCAATGCCTGAATACCTCACCTGGGAATGTGCCTCAAAGGGCCGTAGAGATGGTGGAGCCACACGGGGGTGATGCTGACAGGTAAAGTGTGACACAGGCGAGGGTATCCTTCGTAGCACTCACAGTGGGCTTGTGAGACCTATCAGAAGAAAGCCTCAGGGCAGTGGAGAGAAGCCAGAATGGGATCAGAAAAATCCGGTCTGGCCCACTGCCCACAACTCCCTGCGTGTTCTCAGACCAGTCTCCGACGCTCTCTGAGTTCAATCTTCCCATGGTCAGGATGTGAGGTTTGGCTTCCACGCTGCTCCAGGCTTACAGGCTGGTTTGTGCTCTGGCCAGGAAAACAATATCAGTTCCTTAGAGGCAGTAGGAGTCCCAGCTATACCACCCAAGACAGATTCTACACCCAGACATGCTGGGCCAGTGCTCAGGCCTGGAGTCTCCCTAGCATCTGCTTCCAAGCCTGGCACAGTGACACCTGCCAGTCAGAGCACAGCAGGGACCAGGAAAGCAGTGGCCCTGACAGGTGGGGTGCCCCAGTGGGCAGCGTGTGGAGAAGGAGCCAGCCAGAGATGGCCTGTGGGGTTCTGACCATTGGCCAAAGGCTGGATGTCTGCGCTGCCAGTTGGTAGCTGCTTCTCCAACCGCCTGCTGCCCAGAGCTAATGAGCAGGGGCAGAGCCGACTCTGGGAGAGGGAGGGCTGCTCCCTCTGTGCACATGGACATGCTTGGCCCAGGCCTGCGTGGGAAGAGCAGCACGCAGATCATGGCCAGTCATACTCAGAGGATCTTTGGTTTTCTTGGATAAGCCTGAGAGCCCTGACCCTGGCCCCAGACTGAGACTGACCTTGGTCACACCCTGAGCCGCAACCCTGGTCACAAACTGAGCCCTGACTCTGGTCATAGACCAGGCCCTAGTTAAAGATTGGGTCCCAACTCTGGTCATAGACTGAGCCCTCACCATATAATAAGCCCTGGTCCTGGCCACAGATGGAGTCCTGACCCTGGGGACTAACTGAATAAGGTTTTGAAAGTAAGACAATTGTCTAAGGTCCTGGTGAGGGAGGTAGGAGGAAAGGTAAAATAGGTTATATTTATCTAGTGCTTACCGTATACCTGGCAAATGGGCTAAGCCTGTGTGTCTGTGTGTCTTTTGCATAATTTAATTATTGCTTAGTCCGGTGAGCTGGGTGAAATATTATCCCCATTTTATAGATGACGTAACTAAGGCTCAGAGCATTTCTGTGACTTGCCCAAAGTCACAGAACTAGTGAATACCCAAGCCAGGATCCAGGATTCCAAAGTCAATAGTTCTTTCTACCTCATCTCTGCCTTGATCCTCATGTATCTATCAGCCGGCCTCTTGAAAGGGGACTGTTGGCCTCAGAGCCCCAAGCCAGGCATCCAGAGAAGATCCAGTGACCAGTCTGAGGACCCCTCCTAGGATCTGGACTGCCCACA